AACAAAAAATTAAAAAAAAAATAATAACTTACAAGCAGAAAAGTCGTTCCGAAATACGAACCTGCTCCAACAGTGCCTTGAAAATATAATGATGATGATAATAACGAAAAAAAAAGTAAGAAAAATAACATATTAGGATTTTCATTGGATTCCAGGTCGCTTTTTTTCCGGGTTGCCGCGACCCAAAGGTCAAATTGAACAAGCTCAGTTGCTTTTTGTTCACGGGTGTCAGAATGATGTATTTTCCCCGCCTTAACGGGGTTTAAGCGCACTGAAGCTAGTTTTTGGGTTTGCGGTGCATACTTACACATGCGCAAGCAGAGGGGACATGGGTAGATTGGGAGAGATGCACGCGTACATACATACACATATATACACACATTCACACATGTGCATAAATACATACATACACACATATACACACGCATCCACACACAGTCGCACACACCTCCGAATTCCCACACAAATCCACACACACCCTCCCTCTCCCCACGCACACATCCACACGAAAATTAAGGCAAAATGCACGAGTAATGTGTATATGTTGTTAAAAATCCGATACATGTGTCCCGTTGTCCCGTGCATTGCCCTTCCGCCTTCGACAAAAGAGCAAGAGCAACTCACGTAATTTGCGTCGCGTGTCCATTTGGGTTTACAAAGGGAAGTCTTCTCCGGCATATATTTGATCCTTACGTGGCGGCGCTTTTTCATTCGGTCTGTTTATCTGATTAGCGCACGTCGTAAAGCCTCGGGTGTGTAAACTCTGTCGCTGCCAATATCTGGGTCAACTCGACGTGTTGCTATTGATATTATCTTCATAATGGCGTATCCCTCGTGTTAGAAAAGATATCTAGTTTCCTCTGGGAGTATCTGGAAACTAATTCTGTCTCGAGCGTCTCGTGATGTTTTGATCGGTTTGACTAATAAAAGATAAACAGACAATGGCCGGCCTTTCCTGTCGTGAAGCAACAGCCGCGGCAGTAAATTTGACGCTGAAAGAGTAAGATTAAACGCAAAGGCAGATCCTCGCGTGTCTTTTGGGAATTCAACGCGCAGGGCAAACTTTATTCCAGATATCAGCACTTATAGATCAGCCTCGAATGATATGCAAATGATAGACAAGAATGTATGTAAGCCTATATACTTCACGCCGAGTTGGGCAATGTGACCTGGAAAAACCTTAATACTTTATGCTTGTGGCTAGTAAATTTAATTATGATTTGTATGATCTCAAATATTTGTTTCGAACTATTTTTAGAAACATTGCTGTGATGCAATACAAGGAATCGTTGCTATTTTTTCACGTCATTCTCTCTCTACGAATAATGGTAACTCACATTGTGGTGCCGATGAAATAAAATCCACTGCCGTTTCAGCTTCAGGAAGGGAGTAATAGAAGGGAAGTTTGTGCTCTCGCTATGCCACAGTGATGCTAAACGCCAGAGGAGTGATGAGCATGAATAAACGCTTCTTGCATAGGGAAGCCCCAGAGCATGGCGTGGGTGCTGCTCTCGGGGCTAACGCTGAGGGTTCTCCGTGTACTGACTCCTGTTCTGCTTGCTTTGTCCGCTTCAGCAGATGCTTAGCAGAGGGAGCAACCTGCAACAGCTCGGCTTGGCCTCCGCATGACTCCATCCGCGCAGCCGCACTCACACACGACGCTCACACGACCAGCTAACCAATTCCTTGCTAAGGGGGGAAAAGTCTAACCCAGAGAGAACTGGACAGAAAAGTCCAATCGGGCCGATTTGCCTCATTCTTAAAAAAAGCAAAGCGAGCGACACGTTGCTGACATGTCTCTCGAGTGAGCCGACAGAATGAGAGAGCGAGCGGCCCAAAAAGCATGACCACAACTCTCCTTCAGTAAACATTCTGGCGTCGCGCTCCACGGCCGCCAAACCCGACGCCGCCATGTCTTCGCGGCTGCGCTTGAGGAGGCGGGAAAACCCCGAGCCAGAGCCAGAGCAGGCAAGTGGTGGAGCTGGAGGCTTCTGTAAGTTCCCGAAGGGAGGAGGAGCTGGGCTTCTTTCCCCCCTTTCTCCTCCTTTGTTTATCAATTTATTAATTCGTTTATTAAGTCGCATTTATTTATTTATTCATTAACCTTGAACCAGAGCCAGAGCAGGCAAGTGGTGGAGCTGGAGACTTCCGTAAGTTCTTGAAGGGAGGAGGAGCTGGGCTTCTTTCCCCCCTTTCTCCTCCTTTGTTTATCAATTTATTAACTTGTTTATTAAGCCGCATTTATTTATTTATTCATTAACCTTGAACCATAGCCAGGGCAGGCAAGGGGTGCAGCTGGAGTAGAAGTGGGTTCTTTTTCCCCTTCTCATTTATTAATTCATCTATTTATTTGTTTGTATGTTTATTTATCCACATTCATATATTTATCAACACTGAGCCCAAGCCAGAGCCGGTAAGTGATGGAGCTGGAGGCTTCTGTAAGTTCTTGAAGGGAGGAGGAGGGGGGGGGGTACTTTTCTCTCCCATTTCTTCTTGTTTATCTCTTCGTTAATCTGTCTGTCTATATATTTATTTACTCATCTGTGAGGGGATGGTATGAACTGAACCCCATGTTGCAGATCTCATATGAATTTGATGAATTAAGATATCTGATCCATAGATTTGTTCATATCAGATTTGCATATCCTCGCGTGCCTGTTAATCATCCAAGTACATAACCCAATACTCATTGTTTCTATGCATGTTATGATTAGAGTTATTTACTTGAAACACAATAACGTAATATTGGGTGACTAATCCGATTTATAATCAGCCATTTAGATTTTTTTTATCACTTAAAAAAGGGTAAAATATCATTGCCTGGTTGGTGGTGTGTGAGCATGGAACTTTTGCAGCATAGTAATAGTGCTACGCATGCCTTTTACTTTAATGTCTATTCATATTTAGACTTTCTATCTTAATCTAAGGTTGTTTAGCCTAATGTCAACTTAATTTTAGAATCTTTTAAACTTAATATCTCTTACCTTAATATCTCTTGATATTTTATCAATAATGATACGAGTCAAATTTTGTAAATATATATATATATATATATATATATATATATATATATATATATATATATATATATATATTATATATATATTCTTTTATCAGGGATTTGTAACATATAACAAAGTTTAGATGTATTTCAACTAGTTCTGTGAATAACATATCAAGAAATTACTTGGAAAAAATAATTTAGAGAATTAGAAAGGCATAATAATTTTGAAAGATTAAGAAAATGGTGGACGTGAAGGCTCGTCATAACAGCCAGAGGGAACTTTTGTTTTCCATTTGACTGATTAGATATTTAATGTATGGGACATTGCGGCCGGTCTTGTGTGTGCCCTCCCTCTCAATCCCGTGGGTTACGAGCAGTTGTAATGCTCTCTCGCTCTCTCTCTCTTTATCTATCTGTATATCTATTTGTCTCTCTCTCTCTCTCTCTCTGTATCTCTCTGTCTTTCTTTCTCTCTCTCTCTCTCTCTCTCTCTCTCTCTCTCTCTCTCTCTCTCTCTCTCTCTCTCTCTCTCTCTCTCTCTCTCTCTCTCTCTCTCCTCTCTCTCTCTCTCTCTTTCTCTCTTTCTCTTTCTCTCTTCCTGCTTCTCTCTCTCTCTCTCTCTCTCTCTCTCTCTCTCTCTCTCTCTCTCTCTCTCTCTCTCTCTCTCTCTCTCTCTCTCTCTCTCTCCTCTCTCCCTCTCTCCTTTCCCTCTCTCTCTCTCTCTCCTCTCTCTCTCTCTCTCTCCCTCCCCCTCTCTCTCTCTCTGTCTATCTCTTTCTCACACATTCTTTTTCATTTCCAATATTCTCTATTATCCATTTGGTACATAAGCCTCTCATTTATTGTTATCATTATATTACTATTACAGTTATTATTCTTACCATCGTTAGTGATATTACTACTATCATTATTGTTATGGTTATTATTTATATTATTATCAATTATCAATATTATTGCTGTTGTTATTTGCATTCTTTTAATGTTATTGTTATTATTATTGTTGTTATTGTTATTATTATTGTTGTTATTGTTGTTATTGTTATTATTATTGTGATTATTATTATCATTATTATCATTTTCATCATTATTGTTATGAATATCATTACCGACATTATCATTATTATTAACGCTATTGTTATTATTATCATGATTTTTATTATTGTTATTATTATTAGTATTATTATCATGATTATTGTATTTATTAATATAATTATTGTTACTACTATCCTTATAATTATCACTATCATTATCACTGTTTTTGATATTATCATCATTATGTTTTTATAATCCTCCTCTTGTAGTAGTGTCATTACTATTTTCGTGGTGTTGCTATTATCAGTTCTATTATGATAATCATTTTATAATTATCATCATTATAATTCTAATGTCACTGTACCTTATTCTAAGAACTCTGAAATTTCAGAAAAAATCTGCGTTCGATCAAGAATATTAATATTCAGCAAAGCTTGTCTTATCACACGACAAATGTTTTTATTTCAAGAATCGGTCTGACAACACATGCCATTGCTCTCCAAACACGCACTCACGCACAGAAGTAAACGCGCACACACATGTACACACGCACGCATACAATTGCGGGTTTATGGACGCATATGCACACGCACACACACGTGTACACACGCACGCACACAATTGCGGGTTTACGAACACATATACACACGCACACACACATAAACACACACACACATACACGCACACACACACAAACAAACACATAAACAAGCACACACACACATAACACACAAACACTCTTAATCTCAAACTTAATCTTAATATGTATATTTCCGCCTCTAATTATCACTTCTCACTAACCATATAAAGTAAACGGACACAGACCGGCCAGGAGATTAGAGTACGTATCATCACGGAAATGAACCGACGCAGAAGGCACGCATTTCCATTGCATTTCCTCCGAGGCAAAATGCGTGAGAAAGTCCACATTGCAAGCAACACGCCAGCGATAAGAAGGTCATAGCAAGTGCAATATTTCACGGTTGATGCGAGAGAAAAAGAACAGGTACACGAATTAAATTAAATGCGAGTACGGTACAGAGAACGATTTTTTTTAAACTGTTATGGGCCGGATGTCTCGCAAAGAGTCGGATAAGTTTTAATCCTTTTTTCCGTATAGGAATGAAGGTTCTTTTTTTCAAGTGAATGCGTTTGATTTGATTTTGTCTACGTGGATGGTATTATTCTTAGTAATTAGCCACGTTAATTTGACTGATACGTTAAAAGGGCTTGAATGATTTGCATAGATAATGTAACAATTTGATAAAAATAAGAAGAGTACAATTATAAGCACTATTGTTATAATCTCCTTGCTACTACATCGAGCGAAAGAACAACAACAAAGGCGTATATATCTATCATAATAACCCTTCTGGGTTCGTTTGTGTGTGTGTGTGTATATATACTATAATAATATAATAATATATTATAAACACACAAACACACACACACAACACACACACACACACACACACACACACACAACACACACACACACACATATATATATATATATATATATATATATATATATATATATAATATATATATATAAACATAAACATAAACATAAACACAAACACAAGCCGTAAAAGCTTTCCTTCCTTCTTCCCGCGTGAAATGAGCAAAGCCCCCGAACCGATTCCCGCCGCTTAATGGCCGGAGCCAAACATACATCACCTAAAGTAGAACGGTGATGCGATGTACGTGCTAATTAAGCTTTAATTTGGATCCAATTATCAACGCGTCTCATTATTTTTCGAATTAGTTGTATTTTTTTTATGCTGTTTTTTTTTCTTCTCTCTCTCTCTCTCTCTGTCTATCTATCTCTTTCTCTCTCTCTTATTTTCCTCCCACACTCTTTATCCGCTTGTCTTTCTTTCGCTGTGGCATCCCCACCTCTCGTTTTCTCTCTCCCTCCCCCTCCTTCTCCTTCTCCCTTCTTTATTCATCCTTGCTTCTTTACTTCTCCCTCCCTTTCCTTTATTTATCCTTTATTTACTTCTCCCTCCCTTTCCTTTATTTACTTCTCTCTCCCTTTCCTTATTTACTTCTCCCTCCCTTTCCTTTATTTACTTCTCCCTCCCTTTCCTTTATTTACTCCCTTTCCCTCCCTCCCTCCCACCCTTTCCTTTATTTAATTCTCCCTCCCTCCCTCCCTTTCCTTTATTATTTTTCTCCCTCCCTCTTCCTTCTCCTCCCTTTCCTTTATTTATCTTTACTCCCTCCCTTTCCTTTATTTACCGCTCCCTTTCCTTTATTTACCCCCCCCCCCCCCTTCTTCACCGCCTGACCGCCCTCCCCTCCCCTCCCCAGCAGCGAGTCCGCGAGAAGGATATAGACATCAGACTCTCGGCGTCCGGGAAGTTCAACCGCTGCCACGTCCTCTTCGACTTCAAGAGCGGCGCCTTCAAGCCCTTGCCGACTGAGGACTTGGTATTCGATCTCCTTTCGCTTCCGTCGAGGGTCGTGCACAGGGAGGATCTCGAGCGGGAGGAGAGGAGGAAGGACCCGGCGTCTATGCAGGGAGGTGGGTAGGGTTTAGGTGTGCTTTTAGGGCGTTTTTTTTTTTTTGGGGGGGGGGGGTATGATGCTGCGTTAGGAACGACTTGTCCAATTAGGTGGACAATTTGGACGAGATGGTTTGACCGTTCGGAACCTCTACTTTCTCGTCCTGGACAAGTTGTCCATCTCGTCCATCTCGCCCTCCTTCGCAGTCGGGCGAGCAGGACGAGATGACTAGCATTTGTATGTAAACAATATTAGTTGCTGCTACAAGATATTATTTGGTAATCTTATGGCCGTTTATTGTCATCAAAGGTTATTTTTGTGTTTGTCAGTTGCAGGTAAATTACTTATGTATCAAAGAGGTGACAAAACCTATGCAGAGTATGAAATAAAGACACTGGTACAATTAAATGATAAATGTTTACTTTCGAGCTGGTTGCATTGTGGGTAATGGAGGCCTCGGAGATTCCTAGTGCTCCTGACAAGTCGTTAGGACGCGCAATAATAGGAGTTCCGAACGCATCATAAGCGCGTCTCGCCTTTGTCCGAATCCTACGATTGGTTTCGATCCTTGTGAAATAAAGAAACCAGTGAGTTGTCTCGTTCAATTCCAAAAAAAAGAATAAACAGAAAAAAGAAACTACAACCGTTTATTACTTCACCCAAAACTCCACAAATCACCGCTGACAATCGTTCTCTCACCCCCACGCGATCCGATTCCCGGCAGAGAAAAAATGCGAAGTGGAAACCCAGGAAAAGGACGAAAACGCGCGGGAATTGGAGGAGCTCTACGGGGCCTACGTGACGCCGGAGGAGCTGGCCAAGTTGGACGCTCAGCCGAACCCGTTCAACTACAGCGATCGGGTGTCGCAGACTTTCCGAGTGGTCATGAAGGTGGGTTTGGCAGGAAGGGAGTCATGTCTGATTCAATGAGGGTTCTGTTGTCTGTATTGGGTTGGCGTGGCATTTTTTTTTTCGATTTTTCTTCTTCGTTTTTTCGTTGATTTTCTGTCTTCTTCGTTTTTTCGTTGATGTTTCTGTCTTCTACGTTTTTTTCGTTGATGTTTTCTTAGCGAATTCTTAGTTCACATTTAAGTCTGTTTTGCATCTGTTCAATCCATACCTGCATCTGCTACTACAATTACAGGTCTCTCTACTGTAGCATATTAAAATATTGTCGCATTTGGTTCAACCAAAGTTAAATTTACTTATGTCCGCTCATGGATCCTCTGGCTTGTCCAAAATCAAAAGCTTAATCACTGCCATTAGTTTCATTCGGTCAAAACAACTGTCAAAATCATAGTTTTCTTCCCTTATCGCATTCCACTGGAATTGCCAACTGTAAAAACTCCAACTTCTTCGCATTTCTTACGAGGCCAATTTCGTATTTCCTAAATCTCTTTCTCCTTTGTTTTACTTACTACTTTTATGCTACATCTTCCCCACGATCTACTTTTGCTTCTTTCTTCCCCCTCCTCCCTTTTCTGCTCTTATTACGCTCTACTCCCATCTACTCTCCACTCCACTTTTGCTTCTTTCTTCTCCCTCCTTTCCTTTTCTGCTCTTATTACGCTCTACTCCCATCTACTCTCCGTTCCATCTACCTCCTCCCCCTTCCTCTGAGCATCCTCCAACCCCGACTCCCTCCCTCAGGACCTCCCCATCCAGACGGACCCTCCTCCAGGCACCACTTTCTCCGCGAACGTCGGATTCTCGGACATCTACGACGCCTATGAGAAGGACTACGAGATGGTGCTGGCGAGGAGGAGAGAAGAGGAGATGAAGAGGGAGAAGGAGAAGGAGAGAGAGAGGGATAGGAAGGCAGGCAAGTCGGTGAGTTGGATATCTTTATACTTTGATTTTTCAATATTTATTTTATTTTCCTTTTTTTTTTTTTCTTACGAGAGAAGAATATTTTCTTTTACAATTTCAACAAACACGAGGCTTAAGTGTATGACTTTTAAAGAATGTCACAGGGCTACGGCGATTAAAATGGCTATGTGGTTATTGTAAAAAAAAAGTACCTTTGAGATCTTCCTAGATCCACGTAGAAAATGTGACGCTTAATAAACATAATGGAGAGTATTTCTCAGTATGGCAAAGTCCCATCGCCAGCGCCACAGAAAGGTCATAGCTCGCCCCAGGTTAGTGACAGGTCAAGTTTAACAGAAGTACTGGCAGATTTTTTTTTTTTTTTTCTAAATCGGTAAAAGGATGAATGGCTCCCTTTATGATGATTGTTGGTATAATATGTATAGGAGTTTTAGAAATATATTCTTCACTGTACACCAAGAAGAAGAAAAATTTATTGTTTCTTTCCAGGACGGAACGACAAATGTTTCAAAGCTCTCATGGCTTCACTGGAAAAATAAACGTTTCTAACTTGCTTTGAATTCGTAACTTTTCACAATCTTTTTTCAGACACCTGGATTTCTTTTCTAAAATCAACTTCCTTATTTTTGATTAGCAGCTTCTTTACATCAGAAAATAGATTTTAATATGTGCTAATACAGAGTATATATATATATATATATATATATATAAATATATATATATATATATATATATATATATATATATATATATATATATATATATATATATATATATATACATATATATATATATTATATATATATATATATATATATATATATATATATATATGTGTGTATGTGTGTGTGTGTGTGTGTGTGTGTGTCTCTCCCTTCCTTTAGCAGCATTTCATCTTTAACATTTAAACTTCCCATCTTTTTTATTCTTTTTGAAATTTGTTAACTAAGCAATTTGTCTTAGAATTGACTGATACGCTGTGACGGTCGACCACTTTATTTGTCCTTTATGCAAAAGTCTTTAATTCTTAACTGATTTACTTATCTGTGTTACGAATACAGAATGGAAACAAGCTGGTCAGAGAAAAAAATATAAAGCTTTCTTCCACTATCTGCCGTTTATGCTTGGACTAAACATTTTCAGAGCAGTAGCTGTAAACCCTTTTCCATAAATACTCTGCATATCGCCACATGTATATATATATATATATATATATATATATATATATATATATATATATATATATATATATATATATATATATATATATATATATATATATATATATATATATATATTTTTTTTTTTAGCTTTTTTGGATAAGACCCCTAGACAGCATTTCAGTGGCGTAGCTAGAGGAAGGGGGGGGGGGCTTCAGATAAAGAGAAAGGGGGAGACAGATGACACCTGTTAATTCTGTTTTATTGTTCTGAGATGTTTAGATGTTTATAACCATTCCTTTTTTCGGAAATTCAATTAGTTCCTCGTCCCTCGTCCAAATAGAAAGGGCAGGCAAATTACACCCATTATTATTATCGTTATTTATTGAACAAGACAAAAGAAAAGAAAAAGAAGAAAGAAAAGGAGAAGTAAAAACAAGCAGAAACAACTAGATACCCGTCCCTTTTCCCGAAATCCAAATAGTTCCCCAACTTTCCACCCATACTCACCCCCCCCCCCCCTCTTACAGTCTCAGAAGGCGTCGCGACCCAACCCCGAGGGCGTGGCCAAGAAGCAGCCGTCTCCTCTGCGGGCGGCGAGGGCGAAGGCGGGGGCGGGGGCGGAGGGGGAGGGGGAGCGCGCGCCCGGCCTCCGCACCGTCGCCGCCCTCGAGAGGATGGTCAGCCAGAACATCTTCGACGAGGTCACGCAAGGTCAGGACGGACTGATGGTCATACTATTTCTTAAAAAAATAGATTGGAATGATAGTAATGATAACAATGTTAATGATATTATTCAACTATTGCTAATAATAATGATGATGATAAAAATGATAAATATTAATATTTCTAACAATGATATGAGAATGGTAATGATAAAACAATGATAACAAAAATGATAATAATGATAACGATAAGAATTAGAATAATGAAAATGATAGAATAATAACAATGATAATAATAAAACAGTAATAATAATGATAATAATGATGATAATGATAATAATAATAATGATAATATAACAATAATGATAGTAAATAAAAACAAAAAAAAAAAAAAATCATCATCATCATCATTATCATTATATCATTGTCATCATCATCATCTTCATTATCACTGTTATTATTATGGTAACGGTAATAAAGATAATAATAAGAATAGTGATGGTGATAAGGATAATGATAGCCATGATAATTACAATGTTATTTTAATCATGCCTTACATTTTTTTTTTCAGCATTTAAGGTTCTTGTTTTTATCTATTTTCTCTTTTACATATTTTTCGAAGCGATTACAGCGTCCGTGATTCAGACACATGAAAACACAAACACATTTTCATTCCTTTGCGCAAAAAGTTTCGACTATACAAACTTTTTTTTTCATTTTATTTTCTGTCTTTTTTTTTTTTTTGTTAATTCTTTTGTGTTGATTAAGGAACGATATTAAACCGGAGGCAATTAGCTTCGCACCTTCATTAATCACCTGGAAGGAAAATGAATCAGAGGCTGATATAAACCACTTCAGATATTCCTCTCACAAAATGACTTTTCCTCCCACAGATATTATATATATATATATATAGATAGATATATATATATATATATAGATATAGATTATATTTATTTATTTATTTATTTATTATTCATATATACATGTAAATACATATAAACATTTTCACTTAATTTTCTCCCTCTCACTCGCGCGTGTCAGTGTACATATAACCGTGTTGTGAGCCTGTGTTGTGTGTGTGTGGTGTGTGTGTGTGTGTGTGTGTGTGTGTTGTGTGTGTGTGTGTGTGTGTGTGTGTGTGTGTGCGTGTGCGTAAAATGTGTGTAAAATAGATACATAGATGGATAGATAGATAGACAGATAAGTAGATAGACAGACAGATAAAAAGAGAGTGAGACAAATGGATATAGTCAAACAGTCAAACAGCCAGATGGAAAGACAACCAATTCTGCAACTAAATACCCTTGTTCCGCAGACTACAAGTACTGGGAGGACAGCAGCGACGAGTACCGGAACCTGGAGGGGTCTCTGCTGCCGCTGTGGAGGTTCCCTTGCGAGGGGGGGCGGGCGCTCGTGGTCACGGACATCTGCTGGAGCCCCGTCTACCACGACCTCTTCGCCGCCGCATATACGACGGGTGAGTGGGGGAAGGGGCGGGGAGAGGGTGGGGGGGGAGGGGGAGAGGGGTTGGAGAGTGTGGGGAGGGAGCGGGGGGAGTATTGGGGAGTGGGGAGGGGGGCGAGGGAGAGGGGTGTTGGGGAGGGGGGTGTTGGGGAGTGTGGGGAGGGGGGGGATCGTGTTGGGGAGTGTGGGGAGACCGGGGAGAGGGCGTTGGGGTGTGTGGGGAGGGGCCGGGGAGAAGAGTGTTGGGGGAGTGGGGAAGGGGCAGGGGAAAGGGGTGTGGGGGGGAGGGGAGGCAGGGGGGGCGGGGAGAGTGGGGAGGGAGGGGAGAGGAGGAGGAGGGGGGGAAATGGGTTGGGGAGTGTGGGAGGGGCCGGGGAGAAGAGGTGTTGGGAAAGTAGGGAGGAGGGCGGGGGAGAAGGTGTCGGGGAAGGGGTGGAATATGCGTAGAAGGGAGGGATAGACACTGGGAATAGGAAAGAGGGAAGAAAGTGGGAGGGAGTGACGAATTGAAAGGAGGGAGAGAGATGTGAAGAGGGTAGGAACGGAAGGGGGAGAGGGGATGGAAGAGAGCAAGGATAGGAGGAAAAAAAAAGAGAAGGAAGGAATGGAGATGGAAGGGAAGGTAAGAAGGAACCAAAGGAGGAGAAGAATGGAGGAAAGGGAAAGTTGAATATAAGGGATAACCTTTCTCTTCGTCTCTCTTTTGGATACATGAGCGGTGAGGATTAGGAAGAGTAGGGAAAGGAAACACATGCAAGCGGGGATTGGGGAAAGAGGGGGAAAGGGAGAAGAAGTAAGGAAGAGGAGTAGAAGGAGAAGAGGGAAAATCAATTGGAATGAGTGAATGTGTATGTGGAGGAGAATTTATCACAATGGATTGAGATGTGATGGAAAGTGGACACTACTAACATATTTTTTTTAAGACATTAAAAAGTGGTACAAAATGAAAGCCAAATCAAAAAGAAAATAATTTTGCAAATAGAAGATAAATGAAAAAAAAATCCATCATACTCCCTTTACAGCTGTACTTCATTACTCATTCACACGTAATTCCCACCCCTCAGAGTCGAGGTTTCACTAGCATTTTCTGGAACCAGACTCACGCCCAGGATTAAGGTCCTTTGGCCAGGCCTGGGCGCCCTTTCCTGTGAACTAGTGGAGCCAGAATGAGAAAGCTCTTCTCCCAGAGCCTATAGTTCGAGGGCAGGGAAGATACATGGCCAAGAATCGTCTTAGAAATTTACCAAATATCTTTTTACAGTTACGAAACATAGATAATTTCTGAAGCCAGCCTAGACGCAAAATAAAGACAGTAGGATGTAATTGTTACGAAACCAAAACGAAGACTATGTAGCCGGAGGGAGTTCAGGGACCAGAGCCAAGTCTGACTAGTGGAACCTGGGCATCAGGGACGGGGACGAGTCTGGATAGTGGGACTCGGGCTCAAGACCACAACCTCTGACTTCCCTCCATGCTTTTAGAGAGCACCTGCGGGGCCTCCGACGCCCGAGGGATGCTGTGCCTGTTCACCCTCAAGAACCCGGGCATCCCCGAGCGCGTCCTGCAGCCTCCCTGTGGCGTCACGTCCGTGCAGTTCCATCCCTCGGTGCGTTCCTTCTTTCCTTCGTTTTTTTCTCTCTCTTTCCTTTGTTTAGTTATAATGTAGGTCATTATACTCAATGTGATACCAATAAGTAAAGGGCATATATATGTCTGTCAGTAAATTCACATACACATTCCAAATCAAGGGTCTTACAGTGATGCCAAGAACCTCTTTGCCGGCAGCGAGCGAGCGTACTGGCGGCGGGGCGCGTGGACGGGGCGGTGATGGTGGTCGACGTCCGGTCCCCTCGCGCCCCCAGGGTCATCACCTCGACGGTCGTGGCCGGAAGTCACCTCCAGCCGGTCTGCCAGGTAGGCGCGCTTGCTCTTGGGGTTGGGGTATCCCTCTGGGGGTCTGAGGTGGGGCTCTCCGGTGTTCCAAAAAGGCACCGAGATGTTCTCTGGTGTTCTGGACTGTTTAGAGATGATTTCTGATGTTCTAGGTTGTTCAGAAATGTTTTCAGATGTTGAAGATATTTAGAGGTTTTCTTGGAGGTTCTTAACAGTCCTGGGAGGTTCTGTGGCATTCTCAGAGTCTTGAATGTTCCTAAATATCGTATTTTTAATGTTTGAGATGTTCCCTAATGTTTTGAAATATAATGGGATATGTTGGGGTTAGTTAAGTTCTTCTCAGACTTTTTAGTGATCATGGGGCATTCTTTTCACCTCCCCTTCCTCCCTCTCTCGTTCCCTCCTTTCTTCTCTATCCATCTCTATCTCCCTCCCTCCTATTTCCCTTTCCCATCTCTACTTCTCTCTATTTTTCTACCCTTCCCTCCTGTTCTCTCCTTCCCTTCCTTTTCTCCCCCACCTCCTCCCCTCAGTGTGCTCCCCACTCAACCTGCTCCCCTTAACAACTCTCCTTTTCACCTTCTCTCCCTCCCTCCTTCCCTCTCTATCCTCTTTACCTCCCTCCCTCTACTTCCCCTCTCCATCACTACTTCCCTCTATTTTTCTCCCTTTCCCTCCCTTTCTCCCCCACCCCCATCCATCTCCTCCCCCTCAGTATGCTCCCCACTTTACCTGCTCCCCCCTCCCCCTACCCAGGTGCGGTGGGTGGCGACGGACCCCGGCGAGAGTCTGTGCTTCTACTCGGTGTCGGAGGACGGTCGCGTGTCGGAGTGGCTGGTCCGACCCTCCGCGCTCGTCCACGCCGACATCCTCGACTTCATCGCCAGCGCGGAGAACGCCAAGCTGTCTAAGGAGGCTTCCAAGTTCATACTGGCAGGTGGGCTGCGATGGACGGTTCTGCGTCTGGTTTTGCTGTTTGTTTTCTTTGGGTTCATTTTTTTCTCTGCTTTCTGAATGGTTATTGCGTATAGAAAACTTCGACGTTCACTTTCGAAGGGAGGTCGTCAACTTGGTATGCGCTTCTGTTACTTTCCCCTTTCTTTCTTTTTTATTGGAGTTTTTATTTGCTATTTCTTTCTTTTTTCATACACCGTACGCGAAGTATGATCTGATGATATGCTGACGATATGATCTTTTATTTTCCCCTTTCTTTCTTTTTTATTGGAGTTTTTATTTTGCTGTTTCTTTCTTCTTTTCATACACCGTACGCGGCGGTATGATCTTGATGATATCCATACTTTATCGTCCCGATCTTGGAACCATATGTGCGCACGCTAATATATTCAGTCTTGATATCAGGCGTATATGTTTCCAGATGTTTACAATGTTTCCCTCACTGTTTCCATCTCCCCTTCGCCCCTCTTACACCCTTTTCTATTTCGCCATCCACTGACACCGACCCTCCGCGCCCCAGGCAGAGCCACCTGCATAGCGCTGAACCCGAGCGACAAGACGGACATGCTGGTGGGCGTCGACACGGGCGAGGTGCTGCAGCTGAAGACCTCGAGCACCCACGCCCTCACGCGCTACCCCGCCCACACCGGCGCCGTGAGGGACGTCGCCTGGAACGCCCACCACAGCAAGGTCTTCGCTTCCTGCTCTTTGGACTGGACGCTCAAGATCTGGATCCGCGATTGCCTGTGAGGAATCTCGAGTTGGAGCTTAGCTTCGATTTTGTTTGGATTTCTATTTTGTTTTATTTTGTTTTTTGCTGTATTTACTCTTTGTCTTTGCTTTCACCATGTTATGTGGGGCTGGGTTGGGTTTCGCTGTCTCGTCTGAGATTGCCTGTGAGGAATCTTGCTTTTGAGTTTGAGATTCACTTTGATGTTGGGTTTGGTTTTCATTTTGTTTCCGATTTGATTTGTTCTTTGCCTTTGATTTCATCTTGCTATGTGGGCTGAGGCTAGGTTTCTCAATCAGTATGATCTGAAGGAGTCATTGACAAAAAAAATGTGTGAATTGAGTTCATGTTTAGATAGTTTGTAAAATAGAATAGTCTATAGTAAAACCACGCCCTACATAGATGAGGGTTATACCAGGGGTGAGCATAGGGTGGATGGGCGTGTTCAGGATAAACTTTGAGGGTAAAGGCGAGCTTTGTAAATAAAAAAGAATTGCTGTTAGAACAACTGACAGCGTGAGATGAAGTGTGTGTTTCACCCTTAAAATGTTATGGCTTTATTTCAATCATTACAATTCTGGAGTTACAAATACCTAATGCAGAATGTCTTAAGTATGTTGACTAAAGATTGTCAGTAAAAATCGCATTAGATGAAGGAAAGATTTGTGTCTGTTGAAATATTGAATCCCTGGAGCTATTCGTTGTTTTATCAAAGCAGTAAATTGCAGTGACCTCGGTTGCTCATAGCTAAATTTTTCAGATTTTCTGATATAAGTTGAGGCAGTTATGATGCAAGAAATCATATATCTTAACATTTGTCTGAAAAGGTCTTCTACCTCCTGTGTTACTTCCTATTAAGATGTTTCACTATGTAGTGTGCATCCTAAATGGGTAACGAATACACAGACAGTTTAATAGAGGAGTTTACATTATCACGTATACAGGAGATGTGGCATAGCATTAAACTTCCAACCGAAGAGGTTACATTATAAGTATACAGTGACGCTCAGTCAGAGTGATACAAAATCATGGCAGTTAAAACGCTTTTAATGTAAACACAAGGATGGAGTTTTGCAGATGATATCATCAAGGCGTGCGTGTGTGTGTGTGTTCATATCACAGAAATATTCAACATGACGTACACAAGGACTGATATGCATGATTTGTTGAACCTCGGCGAAAGAGCTTTGTCTCAAACTTGACCCTCCGCCTCAGGTCGCCGCTGGTGACGCTCGACCTCGGCGCGCCGGTCGCGAGCGCCTCGTGGTCCCCCTACAGCAGCAGCGTGGTCGCGGCGGCCACGGACGAAGGGCGCGTCCACGTGTACGACCTGTTCCTCCGCAAGTGCCGTCCGCTGTGCTCGCAGAACCTCAACCAGCGGCGTCGCCTCGGCCTCTCCTGCGTCGCCTTCAACCCCTTCAGCCCCGTCGTGCTCGTCGGCGGAGAGAAGTGAGTGCCCGGGCGCCTCGCGCTCGCTTGGGCGTGGCTGCGGCGTGCCTGTGTGTGTGGGTGGGGGTGTCTGCGTGTGCGTGGTGAGGGTGGGGGGTGGGGTCCGTCTGCGTGTGTGTGTGTGGCGCGTTTATGTGCATGTTCGTGTCTTCAAAGAGCGTTATTATTTAGGAAAACTTTATTGTTGGTAAATTATTTTCATTTTCATATCTTTAACTACAGTGAAATAATCAATTTTCTGCCTTTAGTTAAGCACTCTCACACCCTTAAACTCATGATTCTGTAAGGCCCCCCCAAAATAGATTAGTTTTACTATAATTTACATTCCAAGTTGCACACAAACATTTGCTCAAAGCTGGTCTTCACGGACCTCTACAGCGTTCATCATCGCTCTGCTGTGTCCACCTTCCTTCCTCACCAACCACACCTTTCCCACTTATCTCCAAAGGCAACAACTTCTTGTCTTTCAGCATTTAAAAACAATAATATATTTATCCCGGTGTTTCTTTACTGTTTTCTCACTCCATTTCGAAGATATTTTAAACCAGCTACACGTTTTTATGTAATATTAACTAGCCAGTTTCTCCAAAGTTTTCTTCGGACAATTTTCTGACCTAATTTTCATACTCTAAGAGTTTTCTTCGGACACTTTTTTCACTTCTACCCCTCGACAGCTAATCACAATTCTCATGATTATTTAAACTGAACACATTTATTAATTCCTTTTAGAGTTTTCTTGTCCTCGAAAGTATCTTAAACTAGCAACACATTTTCAACTGGTTTTAAACCATTTTTTTTCTAGCCAGGTTTCATATCCGAAACTTCGAACATATCTGAAACTAAAAACACGTTTTCACTTAGCTTTGAATCAGTTTTTCCAGCTTGGTTTCACACTCACAGACCTGGAAATCGACTTAAACTAACAACGCATTTCAAATTAATATTAGCCATTTAACCCTGTTTTCCCAGATTTCATCCTCCCAAACCTCGAAAGTATCTTGATTAAACAAATTCTAAACTAACCTTCAGACATTTTTCCAGTGAAAATTTTACATACTCAAACCCGGAAATCGTCATAAACTAAACAACTTTTAAAGCTAACTTTAAACAATATTTTCAGCCAGATTTCATCCTCCCAAACCCCCAAATTATCTTGACCCAACAACAAGTTTTCAGTTAATTTAAAACTAGTTTTCCAACCAAATTTCAGGCACCTAAAACCGGGTCTCCTTAACGTAACACTGCGTTGCGATGGAGTCCTAACCCCAGCAACCTCTCCTTCCAGAGGCTACCTGATGACCCTGAAGCTCTCCCCCAACCTGCGCCGGCCGTACAGGGACGCGAAGGGCGCCGAGGAGATGCGCCCGACGGAGATCGAGCTCTGCAAGATGGAGAGGATCATCGCCACCAGCAAGGAGTGGGAGAAGCCGGGGGACGAGCACATGAGGTTCTCTGCCGTGTTTTGAAAGGGGTTCCGGGCGGTCGAGGAGGGTGATGCGGCGTGTGGGAAATGAGGCAGAGCGGGTGATTCGGTGTGGGTCAGGAAGGGGAAGTTCGAAGTGAAACACGAATCAGTGTGTTAGCGGGAAGGGATTCGGTTTATGGAAAACGAATCGGGTCGGTGTAAGTGGGAAGGAAGGAGAGGCCGGATAATTTAACCTAAACTGGTGCGTCACGTTTTGATGTGGTTTTGTGTGATTGTGGTGTGAGTGAGCAAGGCTGCAGGTGACCAGGCTATATCTTAACCTATTTTCAATTGATTATGAATTCTGTTTAGTTCTATGGGATCAGATTAATTTCCTGCACAGGAGCGAGGGAACAAAAATACAAGTGCAGTAGCGGACGTGCAGAGAATTAAGCCAAAGCCAAAATCAGAACTTAAGAAGTATAGAATACGAATACATATACTATATACATACGTATCTAAATCTACTTCGTCTCTCCATCTCATGATTCATTCTCTTTTTTTCTTTGTTGGATCTGGTTCATAATAACAAAAGGGTGCATCAAAGCCGGTAAATTTTATCCATCACAAAGGAAATCAGGAATGTCTTCTGTCGTGTCTGAATGAGATTCTACTTCGCTTCTTCCGGTTGCAGATGGGATTCAGTTTACGTTAGATGATATCGTTCTTATTTTCGTGAATAAAGACGGAAGGAAAAGGCTTTTGGAGTGATTAAGAATTGAGAGAATATGAATTTGAGTTATCCTAATGATTTACCATGTACATACTTCGTGATAAATATTATATTATATAGTCAATTTATATATCAGATGGTGGGAACAGCCATTTCTTTTGTAAATACAGAGTTTTTCCTTAAATACTATTTCATTGTTATATATGATGTTAATATTTAAAGCACAATCATGAAAATAGGATCAATATCCATTCCTTTAACTAGCCGTCTCAGCAAAGAAGGTAAAGATGGCTGTGATTTCTCAGGGATTACATAATAAACATTTTTCAGATATTATTTGTTTTTATTCCACCCTCATTCTAAGAAAAACAATAATCTAAAAAAAAAAAAAAAATAGCAACACCGCATGTTAAGAATGAAAGCAACCGTTAGAATTAAGCTGATTCAAATAAATAAGAGATGGCGTGAGTAAAATTAACTTTTATACAGTGAAGATTTTTATTTCTCACATAATGCAGGAGACTCTTCCTTGTGACTTTACTTTTAATCTAAAAAAAGAGCACTTAAAGATAAGCTGTCCAGTTCGGTGTTAGAATTGATTAACATAATTCTTGTTGAGCAAGACTGGGGATTCATGTCTATATTCATCTGTTTATCTGTTTATCTATCTATATAGCTCTTCATCTATTTACTTGTTTATCTATCTATCTATCTGTCTGTCTGCCAATTTAATTTTCTATCTATCTATTTCTCTACAAATCTGTATTTTTCTATCTATCTTCCTACCTATTTATCGATCCATATGCATGTGTATGCATGTCTATTTTGTATGTAAATGTAAATGTATACACCCGTGTGTGTGTGTGTGTATATATATATATATATATATATATATATATATATATATATATATATATATATATATATATATATATATATACAGGTACGTACACACACAAAAAAAACACTGTATACATATACAGTGTTCGTGTGGCTGGAGTTAAATCCCTTCCTCTTTTAATCCTCATCGTGTGTGGATGTTATGCCTGTAATAACCTTAAGTAAAGCCACACCTGTTAATGCCATTGTAATTACAGGGGCTTAACTTCTAGCAAAAAAGACAGTGATTTAGTGGCCAGATTTTGCCAGACCAAAAAACTGTGCTAATTTCATGCGTTTTGAGCGATGGATTTATGATCAGACCTTTTTTTGCATATTCGTCCTTTTTTTACACTTGATTAAGAGATTTACATGAATCTCGGTGTAATCTGAAAATCTGCATCTTATTTCATGGCACCTTTGGTAATAACAGGAAAAAAAAAATACATTTACGCTGATTAACGGAAAATGACTAGATGTAATCAAAGGGTGATTAGAATAGATAGAAATAATGTAATTACACAAATAGATATATGGATAGAACGAGAGATAGATACGTAGATTGTCAGAAGGAAAGATAGATAAATAGGAGGCTAGAGGGACAGATAGACAAATAAATCGAAAGGTAGATAAGTTGATATGTAGATAGGGAAAGGAATGATAAATAGAGAAATAAAAGGAACTTATGAAAGAAAATACAGTCCCGGATATTGCCAATCTCCCGAAAACATCAACTTAATTTCATATGTAAACTTGTCCCTCGTTCCTTCATTACTGAGGCGGTTTTAATATTCAGTGAATTATCGCGGTCAATACTTCTTTCTTTGCTCTTCATTTTCTCCTCTTCTGTCTGCTTCTTGTTCTCTTTTATCTTATATTTTCTTCCGTTTGCTCCGGAATTCTTACCTGTTTATTCTTATTTCCATGCATCGCGTTTTTTTTTTTTTTTACCGTATTGTTTTGTCCTTTTCTTTATTATCATTCATCTCACCATCACCACTACATCTTTTCTTCCTTTGCATCTTCTCTTATTCTTCTTCCCCTTCCTTCTCCTTCTAGTATTAGCCAATTTATTCTTCCTCTTCCTCTTCCTCTCTTTCTCCCTTTTCCCCTTCTCTCTCTCGCCCTTCTCTTCCCACACTTCCTTCGCGAAATAAAGAATTGTTGTGTTTCTAATAAGAGGAAGATCAATCATAACATGAATGGTATAACTGTTATAGTTGCAGACACAGAGGTAGAATGATAGCAATAATATTCGTAATGACTTAATGATAATGACAATGTTGATGATAGATATTGTATTTACAGTTCTAATGATAATGGTAGTGGTATCAGTACTACGTGTTGATAAGGATATTAGATATACTAGTAATTAGGGTTATGATAATGATGACGGCGACTATGATGATGATGATGATGATGGTAATAAAGACAGTGATGATAATACTGGTGATGACAGCAATAATGACAATAATAGTAAAGATGACGATATCTAAGGCAATACAATGAGTTTAACAACAAAACAGAATAAGATAAAGAAAATGAAAAAAAAAAATCTTGAACTATCATAATTACAACAAATCACCCCAAGGACCCAGAGAAATAATTTAAAAAAACAACGAAAAAGACAACAGGTAATTCAGCGTTAATGAGCGTATAAACTCCAATTAGGCGCCTCCATTAGCCTGCAAAGGTAAGTAATGTAGGATATTTAGTGTAGGATATGCGGGGTGGCACTTTGTCCGCTCTGCGAAGGACTCGCGACGCGGCGGGTGGAAAGGGGCGTCCGGTGTGCGGGGGAGCAGGTGGAGGATGAGTGGGGGTGAGGAGGACGCGCTGGAGGATTCGAGGGATATCCGGGCTCTGAGGTGTAGCGTGTGGATACATACACAAACGTACACTCACAATCACATATATATACATGTGTGTGGATACATACAAACACACACACACACACACACACACACACACACACACTACATATATGTATGTGTATATATATGTATACATATATATATATATATAATATAATATATATACATATACATATACATATATATATACATACATACATATATATATATATATATATATATATATATATATATATATATATATATATATATATATATATATATTATATATATATATATATATATATATATATATATATATATATATATATATATATATATATATATATATATATATATATATATGATAATCATGTTTACGTCAATTCCAGCAATAATGATAATGATAACAGTGTGTAACATAGGAATAACTATGATGGCTATAATGTTGATGTAGCAACAACACATGTATGCATGTATGTATATATCTATAATTGTTGTATTTTTCGTATGTAAGCATGTATGTATATATCTATAGGTAGGTAGGCAGATGAATAGAAATTTATGCATGCATCTATGTATGTGTTTATGTATATCTGTCTGTCTGTGTGTGTGTATGCATGTAAGTATGTATGTAAATATGCATGTATGTAAGTCAACATATATGTATATATGCATGTATGTAATTAAACATATATGTATATATGCATGTATGTAAGTAAACATATATGTATATATGCATGTATGTAAGTATATATGCATGTGTGTAAGTAAACATATGTATATATGCATGTATGTAAGTAAACATATATGTATATATGCATGTATGTAAGTAAACATATATGTATATATGCATGTATATATCTATATATGTATACCTGTATATATGTAGGTAAGACGGCAGGCAGATAGGCATGATCACGTGACGAAGATAACTGGACGCAGACAGTGGCGCGTGCACCTGAGATAAGGCCAGGAAGCGAGCCCAGGTGATTGATGGCCAAGAACCTGCGATACAAATTAATTTCACGGCGTCACGTACCCCCCCCCTCCCCCCCCCTCTCGCCCCCCCCTCAGCCAGCACGGGAGCTCATTAGGGCTCTTAATTACCGTTAGTGTTCGAGAGTCAGCAGCATCGGGAAAGGTCCGGGAAGCAGATCGTCTCGGCGCTTGTTATTGGCGCGGGTCTCGAGCCCGAATAGTATGTGGAAAAAGATTATGATTTATTTTTATTTATTTTATAAACATAGTGCCAAGTATGATACTGCACTTCCAAGGAAATATATAGTTTTTTAATTTGATATGGTTGTAACTATCCAGATTATATATTCAAAGAAATTATATATTATTCACTGTAATAGGAAGTGGTAATAAGTGGCTATAATGAAGCAGTTATGAAAGAAGAATTCTGAAAGTGTGAAAAAGGCGAAAGGTAAAAAAGGCATCTCTTTTTGAAAATAAAAACCTGTACCATGCACGACCTTCCTCGCTTGGGGACTTTAGAAACAAAATGTAAAATATCTTATCGTAGAAATGGTCCTTTGATACATTGGCCTTCATTAAAGCAATGGTTTGACATCTCATTTGTTTAAGAAATAACACTGATGCCATCACTGTTGCTGCCCCTTTATCACCTTTATTAGGAATCACGTATGCTATTCCCATCCTAAAATAACAACAACAACATGCCAGTGCCAGTCTTCAAACAGTATGCTCCTGCAATCACAACAGTTGCTATCAATACACACCTATTCCATCGCAAAACAATATTTCTATTCAAAATACAGTCACCATCTTAAGTGTTGAGATTGGTATGAATGTTCATTCCACAAGGCAAGGAAAATTATTTCAGGACTGAATCACACATCAGATACACCGAGAGTAAAAAAGAACATCAAGCAACCATCTTCGCCTTGCACAATTATTTATTTTCTTCCAATCTTTCTAAACAACTATCACGAGTCTTACGCTGTCCCTTCCACTGCACGATAGCGAACATCAGCCGTCATTATGAGCTTAATCTCCCATCCACCGCATCGTCAGAAGCAGCAAGCTATCATTAACCCGCACAGACCTCCAATCATAACCCCGGTCCCAAGCCTAATCACCTGCGCCTGTGTTAAAGCCACACTCAGGATGCTTCCGAAGCGAAGGAAAACCATCTGTCGCGACTGCAGGAACTCTCTCTCGCCCTCAGGAGTTTTCCTTCGCGTCGTCTTCTGAAGGAGATCTCCTGTCGGTCCTCCGGCGGGGCATTCATCAGTGCCAGGGTGATGGGGGCGAGAGGGGGGGGGGCAGGTGCAGGGGCAAGGGAGATGGAGAGGGAGATGAAGGGGAGAGGGAAAGGAGAAGGAGAAGGGAGAGGAAGGAGAATTGGGTTAAGAGAGGGACAGGGGAAGACGAAGAGGAAGAGTTAGGGATGGGAGGGATAGGAAGGAGGATGAAGAGGAAAGATAGAGAAGAGAAGGGGAAATGGCAGGGAGGAGAGGGAGACGAAGAATGGGTAAGGGACAAGAAAAGTAAGAAGAGAGAAGGGAAGGATTAGGGGAGGTGAATAATTGGCAGGGATAGGGGAAAAGGAAGAGTGGAGAAGAGGGAAGGGACGAAGTTGAGGGAAGGGAAAAGGGCGAGGAAAAACGAGTGGAAATCTATCTAACTGCTGACATCACTACTAACTGAGGAGAAGCCATTTCAAATGACTAATTTTCTAACTTTTTAAATCCTCATCTTATTAAATCATCTTATTCCATCATTCCCCTTCACTTTCTGATTACCCAACAACACAAACAAAGAAAACAAACCGCAAATACGCACGCACACGCATCAAAAAACTGCCTCCTCGCCGCGCCAGCCTCCCTGCTCGACGGACAAGGAAATCAGCCGGACTCAGCCAATGCAATCAGCGACTTGATTTGAGAGGAGCGGAGGCTGGCGCGGAGACTCGTCGTCGGGTCGCCTGCAACGCGAGAGAGGAAGGAAACGTGTAATGTTATTATTCTTTCATTAGCTGTATCTGTATTCATATCTGTCTGTCCGTCTGCTTGTCTTTATCTCTCTCGTTGCTGGCTATATTTGTCTGTCTACATCTCTATCTGTCTATATCTATCTATCCATCTGTCTGATCTAACTATATCTTTATATTCTATCTATCTGTCTATCTATATCTTTCATTGCATGTTCAACACTTTTTACTACATCTTTAAAAACAAAATCTCTAAAAGCCCCCCAAAAAAAAAAAAAAAATCAACCTTAGAAATCAAATGCCAATTTCGTACAATAAAGTAAAACTGAAAATCCTTGTAAAAATATAATTACATGTAAAAATATAATCATAAGACAAATACGATTTCCTTTTCCATCCTCACTGAATGCCTCAGCGCCCCCGATCGTGCTACCTATAAACCTCCTTCGCCTTCTAGAAAAAAAAGCGAAGGC